ATACCATTTTTTATTAGATTTTGAAGATTTGTCCGGGGGGTAGTGTTTATTTCCGGGGGGGTTAGGTGTTTATTTGGTCAGATGAGAGTAACATTATCCTTGCGCAAACGAAGAACATGGCGCACGTAACACCACCCGCATAAGTGTGCCGCCATGTAGAGGCGTGGCATTCCCACGGCGGCAGCCCTGTGATGAAGTGATGTAAAGGTGGCATTCTTTATTAAAACATTGTTGTTTGAGAGCTTTTGTGTTCTTTACATTACTTTATTTTATAACATAAAACTTAAGTAGTTAACTAGAAGAAAACGTAATAGATATAAGTAGCAGATTTGAAGAAAATGATAACTTGGAAGTGTTGCCACTTGAATACTGATGGCGCCACCTGGCTTTTGACTCAGGTGGCAACATGCGCCACCTGGCTGAAAAAAGTATTTTGAGCCCTGTTTAAGTAATAATTGATGGAATTTTTGCACGTTGATGGTATTTTTTCCCCGCAAATTAGGTTGACCTGGGGTTGACGGTAAAAAATTTCGAGCTGGCTAAAGCCCTTGTCTGTAGTCATAAAGTTCACCGCTAATAATACCTTGATTCCTTTTTTTTTTATGAAGCAATATTTATGTTGTAAGCACCATAAGGGAGACACCGTACCAATTATTCTATTATACTGTACTATTCTAGCCAAGCTATTAGGGCGTTTGACTTATCTGGGTGTAGTGGGAAATGAATTGTCCGACTCTTTGGAAAATGAATGGGTCGGGAGGCTTAAACAGTAATATAGTCTTTTGTTGAGAGATGTGAAAACTTGGAGAAATATCAGAGACTTCTTTCATATATAAGAATAATCTGTCCAAAAATATTCTATCTAAAACTGGGTGATTTTGTGACGATAGCTGAGTTCTATCAATGGCGCAAAATCATCATCTTGTAGTCGCATCGCAATTTTCAATGAGGCCCTGTGATAACTACAGATTTGACAGAAACAAACCCAAGCCTGGCAAGGTTTGGGCAGGGCAGGCCGTGCAAATTTTCAGGTCTTTCACGATATTTTAATGAAGGCTGGTAGGGCGCATATTTCTACATTATTTAATTTGTTTGTGTGATTTCCTGCAAATTAGCTTTCGACACAATTCTTTACTATTATTTGAAACTGTACTTGCATTTAGCCTTCGGGCATGACTTTTTAAATGACAAAGGAAATTCTCTGCAACTTGACTAGCGAGCTGTTTATTCTCACATAAGACGTTGTTTTATTCAGAAAAAAACGCGCTATTTTTTATCACAATGTATCCTTGGGAAGGCAACTGCTATTTCGAGCGTTGCAGGAAATTATTAATTGCCGACGTGCGTGTGTGTTTACATACTACTAGGTACAGGTCAATGACCTTTGGATCTCATTCTGAGTAGAATTTTACCGGTATTTTCGCGGTTGTTTTGACGATTTTTCAATGTCAAAATCGGTTTTGTTAAGTATTGATACCGTTAGTTATCATGAGGGAAGGGTAGCGTGGAATCCTATCTTGTGTGTGCTGTTGTCCGCTTCAGACGGTCGCTACCCGTTGGCGCTTCAAAGGATGAACAAGAAGATTTCTTGAGAGGCAGGCGTATCTTCAACATTTCAAAGGCCCGCTGCAGGCGAAGCAGCTCTGCCCAAAATTTCCATACACGCGTCCCCATGCATAACCACACACGTTCAGACGAACATACAGATGTGTTTGACACAAGAAAGACACGAATTTGATGCGAAATGGACACGCGGTCAGTGCAGTTTGGTGTGAGAATGGCACACGTGCGAATGAGAAGTTATATGAGATCTGTACTCTCACCTCTCGAATAAAAGTACCCCCTGGAATAGAAGTACCCCCCGGACAAATCTTCAAAATCTAATAAAAGTACCCCCTGGAATAAAAGTACCCCCCGGAAAATCTAAAAATTGACATGTAAGCAACGTCTATGCTCCAAAAATGTGTTCTCATGGTGTATATATATATATGTGTGCGTCTGTATGACCTTGTCACTTGCAATTATTGACAGGTCCTGAATAAACATACCCCCTTGAATATGATTCCCCCAACAAATCTTCAAAACTTTATGAATATCAGGGATCTCCCCAGAAATTCAGAACAGGGTGGAGGAGGGTGCGAAGCACCCGATGCGGCACGCACAGCGCGTTGCGGGGGGGTGGTCTGGAGCTATTGCATTTTGTCTTTTCCAAACACAAATGGACGTCATTTCCTGCAACTTCAGTTCTACATTTTCTGTACAATTGCAGATGTATAAGGCAGGAGAAAGGTTCAAGATCTGTACTTAATTATCCTCTTCATGTTAAAAAAAAAAGTTCTATTAGCACCCTTAATTTTGAAAAAATTGGGCATAGGTTCCCCGGATGACCCCTAACCGGGGGCCAACGGTGCTTCCACAAGTTCAACAAGTGAAAAATACATGATACAAAAGGTACATGTATTTACTACCTGGAACTTGGAGCAAGTTATTCCAAAGATGTTACTGAAATTAATATATTAAAAACTAAACCAAATCCTATTTCCCAAACAAATCACATATTGACACAGCTGAACAAATAAAAATGTGACCATGTCTATACACTCCACTCAAAAACAATTTTTGAGAGACACTCGGGTCGAGGTACTAAGCGTGATAATCTCTAATAATAGTTAGTAATATCTCATCTGATTCTCCCAATGTAAAGGGTCTTTACAATCGCGGCATCCAACCGCACATATATACAAACAACAATATTACACAAGAAACCAATAAATTCGGAAAATTTCTCAGTAATGTTTGAAAATTATCCTTATTAAAATATAAGTGAATTTTTATTTCAGTTGTAGCCGAAAAAAAATATTTTTCATGCGTTTAAAGTATCGTTTTAGCACTGTAATATGTACTTAGTACATGTCTTATACATTTGGATGCTATCTTGACCTTTGACCACTGTTATTGTAAAAAACAGGTCGGCCATTTTGTCTTTCTCGCCGTGGCTTTTCGAGCCGTTTTCGAGCAAATTTCAACCATTTTAAACATTTTACGGCCTCAAAACTCATACAACGAGGAAAACAAGTTGTAGTTGTTATTTTCATGCGTAACATTTCTTCTGGGGGATGGTTTATTTTTCCGCCGAGCTGCCGAAAACTAGCGTCATGCCGCAACCATGCGGCATGGGAGTTTTATTTTGTATCGGTGAGCTTTCACGATGTAAACAAAGATAGTCGGACTTGTTTACATGAAAATTTTGTTGTGAAACGCCAGCGG